GCTTTAGAGGAGAAATACATAATAAATTTTTATACATAATTTATGGTGCTTTAGTATTTATTTCTGCTTAATTGCTTGCCTCACGTACGATAGAATGGAATTGACTTTGTTTTCTTCTTGACTTTTTGTACATATTTGTGTCTTAGGATTATTTTGTCAGGAATTATATTGATGAAGGGGGTCTTAAGTTTTAATTTTGAGGTTATGAAGCATTTTGGTTAAGATCTCTTATGAGCTATGAATACTTGAGATAAAACTCTATAGAAATTTTTTTTTGTGTAAAGATTGGTAAGCAGGTTTCTGCTGAGAATCGAACCCACATTTTCACCCTAGGGATAATAACAGATTTAAGGCTTATTACCTTATCAAATGACCACAGCGGTCTTCAACTTGCTTCAGCAGTTAAACATACATAAACCCTTGGTACAGCATGTGAATTAATTCCCGATCAAGTCCTCAAAATGAGTCACAATATATCCCAGTCCCAATTTAACATCCACTCTGTTCAAAAAATTCTAACAATATCACCCAAAGGAACTTACTCAATACGTTTACATTCAAGCAGAGAGCATAGATTGGCGCCAGGGTTGTCGAGGAAAAGGGCAATTGCACAATATTTTTTTTGACAGCTACATTCTTTGTGTATAAAAATAAGTTGAAAACTTCTATCAGTACAGCAATAATGAAAATAATAAGCAACATGCAGTGAACAAAGAATGCTCTTTTTATGAAAGGAACGAGCACAAAAAAAAATCTTTTTTTATTCCTTTACTTTACTTTATGGCTTTCGTTCATTCAAGAACTTGAAAATTAACAAACTGGATACTCGTTTGTTTCTTCTTGGCTGCCTTTTTTGTTTGCAATGCAAGATAAGAAAGGAAATGAGAAGTTGAACGAGAATAAGATTTTTTTAAAGTTAATTATTTTGGAGTTATTGGCATTAAAATAGAAATGTTTTGAACTTGCTGAAAAATTCTTATCAATTTCTATACGAGAAAATAATCATGAATCACGTATAATTATGCACAACGCATGCCACAAATGTCTTTCACTGTGGTTTTCATTCCGGGATGATGATAAGAAGTCATCAGCATAATTGTTTATATTGCTGGTAGATTAATTGAGGCTTTTTTTGGCACATATTGTGAACTATTACATTTTCTATTGTTATTTTGAATGTTTACAATTAGAATCACTTTTGTATTACAAATGGCTAAGCTGAAGATGTGAATTAAAATGGTTTGATGGCATAAGTGTCTAATGTTTCGGTATCTCAACCAATTTAGAAAGGTTCGAAACTTATTGAAAAGATATTTTGTCATTTTTCTAATTAAAAAGCTCTGGAGTATTGTTCAAATCCTTGTCATATCGACAAATAATGATTTAAAGAAGAGACTTTTGTAGGAATCGAACTAAAGTCCTTACTAAAGCTTCATTTCTTCAGTCGCATTAGCCTCGCAAAGTCAAATTAAATGTTGCTAAGATATCATAAACTCATAGCTTCTATTAGCAGATCTATTAAGGTAGATGTGGCAACAAATTTAAGCTGAAGATCTTTTTAAGTTTAAATATTATGATAGAGGAATTCAAAATAAAGTTCATTTTCAACAAAATTGTATGGAAAATATTAATTTAATAAAAAAGTTGTTCAAATTTCATCAGAACTCATATTAAGCAAACACCAGACATAGCAAAGCAAATAAATCCCCGAACCTTAATATAAAATTTTTTCCATGAAATATAGAAACTTGCCGACAAGATTCTATGAAAAATTCGCACTTACAACTAAGTTGACTGCTACGCCTAACATTAGACTCACTCATATGTCTTAAAAATGATTAATTCTCTCAGTTCAACCAACATAAATCTTCATTTATTTAAGCATATCATTCAAACATTCATAAATCTTTTGCTGAATAAAAATAATCTGTGACTTGCGATTGACTTTTTTCATTTCTTAAAAAGATGCCGAAAAAATTGTTTATACGCGTAAGATAATTAATTATTTAATTCAGAATTTTTATGGCTATTTAGTCAGGTCTCTCATTTGATAAAATTTCCTTAAAGCTAAGGATTGGATTGTGTCTAAAATCAATTAAGATAAAAGACATTTTTATGAATTTCATGATTTCGATAAGGCAAGAGAGCATGAAGGGATGTTCATAAAAAAAAGAACCAAGAATGTAAAGAGAGAGAAAAGAACAGATAAGAGCGGTGCTGCTCTGAAAAAAAAAAACGTGAGTCTATAAACCGAAATAAAATACACAAAAAAATTGTCTTCAGCATGTACCAGACAGATAAATAGATTAGAGTCACCTGGTAGACATGTTTTGTTGATAATGGATAGAGACACTTGTCCATAAAAATGGAAATAGCTCAAATCTACGCGTATCTAAGGACATTGAGCATGAGGCACGATGATTAGGCTCTCTAATTATGTCATTCATCTCATCTGACATAAAAGTTCATCAACTGATAGGCATATCTATTGTCTGTGCAGTAACAAGTGTCAAAAAAGACCACCGGATAGAAGAAATTTCTTCATTCTCGCTTATCTGCCGTTGATTCTTTGCAAATATTTAATTTTTTTTATAGATAACTTTATGTATACGGCGTATTATGAAAGTGTTATGAAATCGGAAGACATTATCATCGAGTGTTTATTGTCAGCATGACATATGTAAAATATATATATATATATTTTTTGATAAAATTTATTGTCGAATGAGATTAATCAGACATTAATAATATTGTAATCTATTATAATTTATACATGTGTTGTTTTGCAAAAAAATTCATATGTTATTTTGGGGAATTTTTGACAGATTGTGGTTCAGTTTTGAATGATGAATGGAAGTAGTTTATGCAGTTTATTCGAATTTTATAAAATGTTTAAAAATTACAAGAGCAAAAGATGAATTTTTGAAGAAAATAAATATATGTGCGTAGTTTTGCACCCTTTTTGAAATTAAAATGCTACTTATCTGGATTCAAGCATGGTCTTCGTATAGTAAGACTCCAATTTTTCATCATTTAACTTCTTCGTGCTGTTAAATGGGTGCAAAAAGTAATTTAGACAATTTTTGACGTAGTTTCACACCCCGAAATTTTAATTTTGGCATTTATTTTTTACAAGGATGCATCTAAGGCTTCTTTCTGAATTGTCGAAATCCAAACATTAGGACTATAAAATGAAATAGTTTTGATGTCTTAAGCTTGGTAAATTTGCATCCAAATCTATAGTTTGACACCCCTTAGACTTTAATAAGCGTCATTGTCTAACCTGTAGACAAGAAATCAAGTAATTCCCTTTTCTTTTTTCTGCAACAGAATTATGTCATCAAATCCAATAAATCTCCAAAAACTGCACTCCAAAAGTCCCTAGACTTCCTCAATAAAAGCTTATCCATCAACTATTCCCTCCTTATCAACCACAGCGCTTCCTATTCTACCGAACAAGTAAATTTGTTTTCGAAAAAACTTATCAATATCCATCTCTTATCTATTTGAGCTTCTACTTATCCTCAAATAAGACAATGTGACTAAATAAATCCATCAGCCAGCTACCACAACCAAATAAAAGTCGTGCGAAACAATAATCTGTTGAGATAGTTAATCTCATTCATTTACATGCATAATGCTAATGTTATTGTTGTGTTTGGACAGAAACAGAGAAAAGAATTCAAAACTTTTTATCATATTGCCCCAGGGCAGACGTTTTGATTGACATAATGTACGAATTGTTTGTGTGTATAGTTATCTGAAAATAATTATTTTCGGTTATCTTGGGGGTAGCTACTTGATGATAATAATACAAATGCAAACTTCCTGCAGCCTATCGCTTATCGTGTCGTGTGGTTTTGTGTATTTCTTGTTTTGTTTCTGTAATGAGATAAAATTAAATATTTTATGAATTTTTAATTGTTCTTTGCGTATGGTGAGCACATGTCAAAATCGCCAGCATGATTATCGCAGTCGATGACTTTCGATTTCATTCTCGTCTTTGGAACTAAGACAGAAGAAAGAAGAAGAAATGTCTTACATAAATGTATATATATTAAAATATCGTTCACGAGAATCTAGGTGATATTTCCCGTGCAAACATTTCCATTTCCTGCGTTTTTTTATTGCCCATGTCTTTAACTGGAAACAGCAATGTTAAAACAAATTATGTTTTGTTTTATTTCTTTGGGTTTCTCACTTATACATAATTTTTATTTACATTTTCAAAAACCAAAATAAACTTTATGAGCTTGTCATGGTAATTATGGTCGCATGCCGTCAAATTTAGTATTTCACTGAAAAAGCGCACCTACTCTCGAGAATTTGCACAATTAACTCATATATGGCTTAGAGAGAATATTCATGCATGGAAATCACCTCTCAATTGACGTCAATTGTTGACACATAAAGCGTCAAAAGTGATTTTTAGCACATTTTTGAGGAGTATGAGTTGAATTTGACTCAGTTTGTAATATTTACAAATGTAAATTGATGTTTTGAATGGTTTTGATGACTTTGTTTGTTTTCTATGATCGTGTGCCATCTTTTTGTGTTAGAAATTGGTATTTCTAGACATCTGAATATTGAATTGATAGAGAAAACTTAAGAAAACTTTTCGAGGTGGAAAAATTTTAAAATTATAAAAAATTTCAAATTTCAAATTTACACACATCCGTTAATTTTCTATGGAAAATTTGAACTTAATTCAAATAAAAATTAGAACAGCGACTAATTCCTCGTCTCTTTCCTTCCTTTTCTCTCTCATTCATCGTCTGTGCGCTCATATTATTATTGCCGTGAAATATTAGGAAACACAAGAAAGCAAACAATGGGAAATGCTCTACGTTTACAATTTTTTTTAAGTTTTCGTTTAAGAAATAAAACTGCTTTAGAGTCGTGTCAATATTGAAACTGTGACACATTTGAGAAATTCATTCATGCTTAATTCTTCATTTGTCTTTAAGTATTTTATGAATAGTCTATTTTTACATCTTCAGATGGACACACAACAGCCTGAAATTGTTGAACAAAAGAACGAAAGTGTAACCGTTGAGCGTGTTATGATTGCAGAAGGAAATGAGGCGGTGAAAGTTGAAAAAATAGCCAAAGATCCTGTGAGTATAATTCCAATTGTGTCATCACAAGAGCCACCGTCATCAGTGCAAGAGACAATCGTGTCAAGTCCTCAAAATTTACCAACAACGACGGTGATTTCAACAAGACAACGAATGATTACAACACAGGGACATATTCGTGAGATTTCAGTGACACAATCACATGAAGTGCCAGAACAATACGAACAATATCAAATCACTGCATCTGGTGATGATCAAAATGTCTACACATATGAGCCATCGTCCACAGGAATTATTACAATTAATCAGCCTGAAAATCTTCAAACGACTGGAATTTTAAAGCGTGATATTTTAATTGAAAAGGAACATCCAGGGATTTCAGGACCGACAATTAATGTCGTTAGTGCTGAACCGCAAACAGTTTATGTGGAATTAAAAAATAATGGTGAGGAACAGAGATACATAACAAATCCAACAATCCGATATGAAGCACCTGAGCGGTATCATCGATTTGCTTACCACGGAATTCCAACACACAATCCACACCTACAGCATCAACGAGAAGTAGCTCTTAAATCAGAAGGACCCCAACATCCACCGCCTCCACCTCAAGAGCTTCAAATTTATGAAGCTGAACATGGAGCTCCAAGTCATGCACAGCAGTCAGGTGAACAAAGTACAATTTCCTCCGAACAACAAAATGAACCAAAGGCACATTATACGAATTTGGAGCCGGTTGCGTCTTCTCAGAGTTCTTATTATTTGACATCTGAAAGTTATCAACCTTCTAATAGCAATAGCTTTACTTACTTACCTACAACGACTTCGAAGGATGGTCCTTATATATATCATCCTAATAGTCCTGTGCTGTACAAAAGTGAGTATTTAAACTCCCATTAAACTCTACTCAAGCTACTGTTCATTCCATTCCATAGTTTAATAGCTCTTAACCATCCTTAATAGCACCAATAACTCATCTCTCAAAATGGCATTTAATTCCTTTTGCAGCAAAACATCAACCAACACATTATACACAAGTTTATGAGAATAATTCAATGCAAACGTCACCGCCTCAAGTATATTATAAATCTGATGGACAATACGGATGGCCAGGAGCTATAGATTATAATCCAGTGAGTATATAAATATCATTTAGAAGCGACACAAAGGTTCTTATCATAAATACATGATTAATGTAATGTCACTTTATTTTTTCATCTCCAAATGGAATAAATGAAGGGCTTTGGTGGCACAATCATCGTAGAAAATCCCCAATCCGATTACCTTGCAAATGGTCACCATCAATGGCCGATTGGTGCAGCAATTGCTGCTGAGTCGTATGATCCCACAATCATACCAAATGATGTGCGAGAGTGTGTTAATTGCGCGAGTTCTGATACACCATTATGGCGACGTGATATGGCCACAGGACATAATTTGTGCAATCGATGTGCATTGTATAATAAGCAGAATAATGTTCCACGACCACCAAATCGAATTCCGAAAGCTAAAGCGCCGTCAGCTGTAATTATCAATTTTTTGCTTTTTTATTTTTGTGCTATTTGAGTTGGGAATGAGTGAGTTTAGAGGTTAGGTTTGGATGGTTGTCTGGGAGTTCTGAATTCAACAAACATTAGCGATATCATTAAACAATTACTTGGGATTTGAACCCACACAAGCTTGCAGAGCTGTTTTAACTTGATTTTAGTCAAGAACCGTGTTACAAAATTTAAAAATTATTAAATTTTTCGCAAAATGCACATTAACAAGGCCCATCCAGACTTTCTTACTTCAAACTAAAAAAAAAATCTTAATTCTCACTCGATTCACTTCTCGTTCCTCATCTCCTTTTCGTATGGAAGAAATTTAATTGATTTAAAATGTAGATTGATATCTAACATTCTTTATTCTTATTCTCTCCCTTTTGTCTTTTACAATAATACCGCAGGCTGCGGGAAACAGAAGAAGCGGTCTAAGTTGTAATAATTGTAATACGACAACAACAACATTGTGGCGCCGAAATAGTCAGGGTGAGCCCGTGTGTAATGCGTGTGGACTTTATTACAAGCTACATAATGTGCATCGTCCATTGACAATGAAGAAGGATGGAATACAGACGAGAAAGCGTAAGCCGAAAGCACAAACACCAATGAAGCCGATGGGTAAGGCGTTAAGCTTCTATTTAATTGATGTCGTGAATTAATTCTTTATTTCTTTATTCCTTCTTTGTGGACATACAAAATATAAAATTAGACAAAATTTTACCACCGATGATTCCATCGCAAATTCAAATGCCTCATCATGAAATGCACGTAGCCCAACCTTTACCTGCCCATGAACATTATATTAATGTCTCACAATCATCGACACATTTGCGTCATGCGCCGTAAGTCTCTTGTGTATATTTATGATTCACTCATCGTAATTCAAGATGATAACGTAGTTTTGATGACATTTTGTAGAATATCGTCATCGATTGCTATCGATAATAATCGTCATGCTGTCATTCCAACTAGTCAAAGTGTCATTCATGCATCGGTTGCTGAACGAGCAAATTAGAATTATTTTTTAATTATCATTTTTTTTTTGTGTAAAGTCAATTGTGATGAGTTCTAAGATTTGGAAGTGACAGGTGGTTAGATTTTGATGGATTGGGTATGAGGAGTTGAGGTTGTTTAAGATTGTTTAATTAAGAAATAATTGGAAAAAAGTTTTGGGAGCTAGTTAATAATATGTTAAATTTAAATAAATTTTTTTGGGGCATTAGTCTCGTCAGCTACTTTTAAGACATTATTAAGATTTCATATTAATATTAAAAACAAGAAAATGTTTTAAATGGAGCCAAATAAATTTATTATGTGAGTGTGATTCGAACCCTATAACCCTTTGCCTCTTAAATATATGATCTAATCAATGAGCTACCAACGACTTTGGTCTGCTAACACAAAATTGCAGTCAAATGACTCAAACTAGCACTCAACCTCGACCTACACTATAAATAGTACTTTATTAATGTAGGAAATTAACAAAATAAAACTTTCTCTTCCAATTTTCAGTAATTATCAAAATCTAATCACATCAGAAATTCATCACTCCCAATAGAAAGCATAATAGAACCAGAAGTAGATTGCAAAAGGGACTCAATTGACAGCTTTAATGAACTCATTTACCTCATAAATGTATAAAGAAAAAAAAAATATCCGCGAAAAAAATAGTGTTTCCTTTTTAGCAATTCAACTTCTGCATCACCAATTGGCATATTAAAATAAATTAACAAAATTAATTATAACAATTAACTTTAAGAAGTCAATAAGAAAATGAGTAAAATAAAAATTGTGAAACTTAAGTGCCAAATCATGTAAATATAGTAATGTCAATGAATGCAATTGTGCCAAAAAGAAAAAAAAAAAATGAAAATTTATCCATTCCAATTTTACCTCCCTAAAGTGTTGTGTATATTTAGTTATAAATATAAGTATGCATACATGAGTGTATATTGAGTATTAACGACAGTATTTTTTCATTTTAAATGTATTATAAATCAGGATTAAGTTCTTTTTCTTTTCTTTTATTCACAAAATAAGCAAAATTCGATTTTTTAGAATTCTTTCATTTAACCTTTTTTTTTCAAATGAGAAAAAAAAAATTATATAAATGCTTAAAATTGGCTATAAAATTTGGCTTAAAAAGAAAATTCATTTTTGAAGAAAAAAAAAACTTGAAAACTATGTTAAACAATATATCGAAGTTTGATTATTTTAAAATTTTCAAGATTCGAACTTCAACTTCAACAAGATTTTAAATCTTTTCAACACCAATTGTACAATATCTTCTTTGAGTAAAGATGCTAAAATCTTCATTTAAAGTAAAAATTCAAATCATATTTAAAATCTGTTAAAAACAGTTTTTCATTAAAAAATGTCGTTGAATTTCCTGAAATCTTTATCGTTCCTTCCCAACAAATCCAGAAAAAATCAGCAAAAAATAAATACTAAGCCAGAAAAAAAGTCGTTATTGTGAATAGACAAAATTCCACAGCGATGATTCAATGTCTAAATTTTATTTTTATATTCCTTATAGGCTTAAGAGAAACAAAAAACAACAAAAAATAGTTTTATTGTCATTTAATGGATTGTGTAACAAAGAGAATGTAAAATAAAATAAAAAATAAGTCAAACAATGTCGCCAAGATTCATTCTCATTCTAGTGCTTAATTACTTTCTTTGTTTCAGTTCAGTCTTTAGAATAAAAATTTCTCCGTTTAAGTCGCTAATGTCTCTCTGCATTTCATCAACATAATCGATACATTATGAGTTTTTAAAATAATAAATAATTTAATAGGGAGCGATTAGTGTATGGATTGGTGATGATGTTCTGGAAATAAAACTATGATTGTAATGATGGCTGTGATTCTCTATTTGGTAGATGCTTGAGGAACTACTTTCACTGGGGTTCTAATGGATTTTTATGAGATATGAGACGTTTAGAATTAAAGATTATATAAAAAAATGGATGGGATTTGAATGAGTTTTTGAAGTTATTTATGTGAAAAATGTTTAATATTTTTAACTTGAATTGGTTTTGGAGTTTTGGGAATGCAATCCTTTGGGGGTTGTTTTAAAATGATATTTTGGATAAAAAGCGATTTTACTGATGTTTTTCCCTATTTGCCATTATATTAATTAACAAAAGAAAAGTTTTGAATTTTTGAGTTATAAAAAAAACACCACTTCTTTAACTTTGAAAATTAAGATTCGAACTTTTAAATTTTACACAATCTTTGTCAATTATTGACTTTTTAATATTGATGCCAATGAATCAAAAAACTCTATGATCAGCAATTGACAACTAGTTATAGAATTACTATTAACTAAAGCTTATCTTTAAAAATGATAAAAACCAGCAAATTATAATTTTTGGGGATTCAACCTTCATTTAACTTAAATTTATTAATTTTAAAAAATCTAATTCCAACTCTCAAGCCCAATAAATATTCTTAATAAATCCATAAGATCGAAAATAATCTTCCAGTTAAAAAAACTACTAAATTCATAACCTAATCGAAATGAAACGACTCGATTAAGAGAAATTACCGTAGCTTATAAATTTTTATGTTTATTTAGATAACAATTAAGCATAAAAGCAATATTTTTGCTCCATAAATTCAATTTTATGACAATTCTTTGAATTCCCATAAAATAAAATAAAAAATCCTCAAGAAAAAAAATAAACTTTCATCCACGCATAAGAATGCTCGTAAAATCTAATTTTTCTTAAATGTCACATATTTATGAGCGACGAAGAAAGTCTTAAGAGACAGAAGGAGAAATGAAAATTAGAATATTTTGGCGCCATTTCATTCAAATGCATGTATATATGCTGTAGCATATTGGGAAAGTCAAATCGAAACCCTTTGAACAACTCTCACCGGCGTCATCATTGCCACGACTAATGGGTGCATGTTGTTGTGCCTTCAGAATGGAATTTAAATGGAAAAATTTGAAATTAAAGGCGCGCACTTCTTTTATATTTTCATCGAAAAAAAAAAAAAAAGAATGAATAAAAAATACATGTTTAACAGATTGGATTGATGTGAGATTATTTGTACGATGGTTCTTTAATATTATGAATATTTGGATGGATGCCGACGATTGATAAGTTCTTTTGGTCTTCTTGATCGTCTCCAATAAGACGAACGATTATTGGCAATTTAATAAATTTATGCTGCTCTGTTTTGATGATTTTTTTTGATGAGGAACATTTTTGAGATTTGAACTTAAAATTTCAAAATTTCACTTTGTGAATCTTTTAACCATCTTGAATATCTGCTGAAAAAATGACGTTTAAAAGTTAATATAACAAATTCGAAAGTATTCAAATTAAAAATGCTTCCAATTCCAGCAAATAGACAATATCCCGATTTTCCATCTACGGGGTAAATGAACTATCATCATTCAACTACGTAGACCACAGACATGCAGCACTAGAAGAAATTCCCAAATAAAACCATTAAACCTGCAGTCTCAAGTACACCCAAATGACAAATTATTGAATGGGAAAGTGAGCATGCCAGTGAGTAAGTGGAAAAAATGAACAGATGATAGTAATGATGATGTCTGTGTTTTGAAAAATTTACCAGAAGAAATGCTTTGGTGCACTTGAAAATTCTCATAAATCATGTCTACTGTATGCTCTCTGAAAGTGCATAAAAAGAAAGGCCATAAAATGTCTAAAATCTGTTTTTTTAAATTCTGACATTTTTTCTTCTTATTCTCCGCTCACTGTCTTAACTAATTGATTTTCTGGATTAAATCAAAAAAATATAAATTAAATATGAGAAGAAAAAAAATTACTTTCGAGATCGAAGTAAAATTAATTTGTAATTAACTCGAGAAAAAAAAACTTAATTTACGCGCGCTTTTAAAATTGTGAATTGTGATGCGAATAAATCAGCTTGGTGTGCACAAAATGTAAAAAAGTCGCAAATAATTCAGAAAAAACCGCGATTAAGCATTTGTACAGCATTTGTTGGGAATCAAACCCAGTATTGTTATAATTTATTTAAGGAAATCCAATTATATCTGTTTTATGTTTATGATTTAGTTGCACAATTCATAATAATGCTAAATTTCACTTGTGCCTTATTTTAATGAAAAACTTCCTTCCATATCCCAAACTGCTCACTTTCCAAACTCCACTATTCAATCTTAATTTGTTTTAAAAGAATAATCTCAATATTCGTAGGGTAGGCACAAGCGAAATAATAATATATGATGCTTTTAACTCTTCTCCTTTTTATTTTGCTGTTTCGTTGCTTTACAATTCGCGACATAAAAGAATTCTCATTCTTCTCTCCTCTTATGTCCATTATCTCATCTCTTTGCGCTACGCTTTGGCAAATCTTTAACTTACTAGCTTACAAAGGTGCTGTTTATGACTTTCAATGTTTTCATTTTCTCTTCTCTTTGGGATTTTTAATTTTTCTTTGGATGATTGTGGGTGAATAGGCTGTCCAGCTTCATATAATTTAATCTGGTTGTCCCGCTTTCTGGTTAATATTAGCTTTAGATAGACAACCTAATTCAGAATAAGAATTGATCAAAATTAGATTTTAAGATGAGGAATCTGGACCAGCATTTTATTAAGCATCAAAAAATCTATAATAACAATAATTCTTAAACTTAGTGATCTTGTTATAAGCTTGCCACTTTTTTAAACAAGAAAAAAGTCAATTGAACATAGAAATTCATTTCTAAATGTTTTTAATTTCAAAAATACTTTTCGAAGTGAGAAATCAAAAAAATTTAAAAATTTTCTAAAATTCACAAAAACTTAAAAATAAGCGCTCAAGGATCTTAACATCAAGCACTTCTCAACTAATTTTCGTCGTTGAACAGGATGAAACAGAAAAAAATTTATTGTCGATGAAAATTGGCAGCAAGTAACATAACGTATACATATATTCTTTTTTTTGCATAAAGAACTTAAAATTGCTTTTATTTAAAGCGATTATCAGACATTCGAGAACATCATCAACGCCTTAATTGCCTTTTCTCTTAAATAAAATTGTTCGTATACGTGGTGGGGATTTTGATTTCTTTTATTCTTATTTTCTTCTTTTATTCGATTATTTTTATGTATTTATATTTTGGTGCACGATCGTTGCTGCTGCGAAGGAATAAAAATAAAAAAAGAGAAAAAAGAATGAACAATAAGAATTTCATGGGCGATGGAGTCCGATAGCTTATAAGCGACTCCTCCCTCTTTTTTCTTTAACTCAAAAGGCAGCCAGAAATAAATTCAATCCATCTTTAATGCAGAAACAGAAATGATTTTAATATATAATGAATTAATGGGTTTATAAATTTTGTTTATATTAATGAAAATGCAGAAGAGAATTTCTATTATTAATTTATGAAAATGTACGAAAGGAATTTTTTGTAAGTTGAAAATTATCTCAAGAAATTAGTTGAATGTGTTGGGGGAACTGTTGGATTATTGTGGTCAAAATTTTATGACATTTTAAAGAGGAATTTGAAATTTTTAATATTTGTGCTTTTTGAGCTAACCTGTTAAGAAGAAGACAATGCATCGTTGGTTGCTATTGATGTTGGTGCTACAGATATCCAATTTTGTTTAATCTTGACGGAAGAATATTTTGACATTCGAGGTATAAATATCTAATATGAGTATGTAACCAAACCTGAACACTACACCCTATTCCACCCTACTTCCCTCGAAACGAACGAACGATAAACAAAGAATAAGATAGAAAAATTTCAGATCAACCTTCATTTTTTATCATCAAGGACTTAAAACAGTGGATTTATGTGAAATTAGTCTAATCCTAAGATAATAGTTGGTTGCAGCTGAACAGAAAGTCTTTTAAACGTGAGATGTAACTTAAAATATCATATTTTTTCACACATGTCAAAAAGTTACTTCTCGAGCGTCAAACGGAACCAACATAGATTAAGAAACTGTTAGAAGCATTTTAAGTACTCTATTTAAAGGTAAAATAATGTCCCTTGAAAGGTTTTAAAGCTAAGGTTATGATGGCAGAGGTTTAATCATTCTGTTTAGAGGAATTATAATAATTGTTCGGCTGTGCTGTTGAATCTTCCACAAATCTTATATCAAAGGCATATTATTTAAACCATCTTAATCATGACATCTAAGTTGCATGCATCGAAGCTAGATCTGATGTCCATTGATGGTACTTATAAGCAAGGTTTACAAACTGAGAACTTAAAATACAAATTTTTTGACCATAATTTCTACCACATAACCCCAAACAGCAACCATACAAAAAGAAGTATAAAAATCATTAATTCAACACCCAACGAGCCTAGAAAATCCAATTCTAATGCCCTTCCATTGTAATTAATTACAATTTTAAATTTGAACACGATGTAATTACATTTTAATTCAAACCTAATGTACAACTGAATAATGTAAAAAAGTAAATAAGCCGGCAAGTCGAAAAGTGCGAATGGAGATGAATGTTTTAAAAAAAGGTTCAATTTTCACGTTCGTGAGCAAAATGAATTAACATTGAATTATGGGATTTTAAATGAAGTGATTAAAATTTATTAATGATTCTTTTATACAGCGACCAGCCAACATACATACACAATGGCGATTTAAAAAGAATTAATAATGAAATTAAAAGATCGGAAAAGATGAAATGGAGGTAATTTAGAGATAGAATTGTTGATCAGCATTTAATTTTAGAGGTTATAAGAATTAGATAAGTGAATTTTGGTGAGGGAAAGGCTTTGAGTATCTAAATTAGAATCGCATTTAGTTATAGCTATTTTTGATGATGGGGTTGTGTAGCACAATAAATGATCGACCTTCAAAGGTTTGTTAAATAATAAATTCCACATCCCAATCAACTCCAAAACCTGTCACACTTAATAACTGTGCAATAATAAAATAGCTTCATTTCCGACAACACCTTTAAAAATTTATTATATCTTAATTTTCAATTTCCTTTCAGCAATAAAAACTGTTATTACTATTATTGTCATTTTTAAGTACATACAATAACATTACTTTTTTTTCGGGCAATATCAAGTGCTACTGAAGCTTATCTCTTTCTACTCGGAATTATTTCGTAAATACTTAGCGAAAAAAAAGAATGTTTTTATGACCCCCTTTTTATTGTCCATATTAAATGATCGTAAAAGTGTTTTTTTTTCGATGCTGCAGTTTTTGAAGAAGTTGATGAGGTACTGGAGTTGACAAGTTAAAGCGCATTTTGGGGTTCAGTTATGACGTCCGAAATTAACGGTCATTTTTCAAAAGAGAACAATGGATTTACAGGAATTTCTATTCATGCTGACCCCCCCCCCCTCTCCAGTTCGGGATTTTAAGGACTCTAGCGTCCTTAATCAACACATCCAATCCAGGTATTCTTTGGTCTTCCTCTATCTCTAGTCATCTATAAAGTCAGCAACAGTCATTCAATTTACTGGGGCATCTTGTGGACGTCACAAGTGAACAGGGACTGTAAGAAATTGTTGAACACTACTTAAGGTTTGATTTCATATTATACTCCCAATTTGAGGGGTTCAGACTTCTAATTCAGAGAATTTCTCAAAACAACAACTTAGTACCTTAAAATCAAGTTTTCACAAAATTAATTCTCTTCATATCTTCCCCGCAAGTGCCATAAACACAGAAACCTATAAATGCGTATTAAGTTGCTCCTTCACATTCACAGCAGCTTCCATATAAAATTCACCATAATAACCTTTATCACAAAAATAATTTTTATTATTAATTGAGAGAAAAATATTGAGGCTTATAGTTGAAAATGTGTCTTAATTGAAATGATGGTGATATCGATGAGTAGCTGAGTGGGACATGAAAAAATGAGAAGTTAAATGAAATGGCATTTCTTTATGCGACAATTTATAATTTTTATTTTGGATTTTAATATTGAGTGAATTAAAATGATAAGGTGTTGGATGAATGAAAAGGAATTGAGAAGGTTGATTGATGTAAGGTTTTCGTTGCTACACTCTTAGTGCTGTCCTTTTTTATTAAATCAGTTGATACCTTAATGATTGAATTACAAGCTTTTACAGAAAAATAATTTTTTAGTATGTTTAATCCATGCGGAAACGTTCTCGAGTGGCGGAAAACCTCTTTGACCCCCCTGGATCCACAAAAAGGGAAGCTAGATTCTCTGCGACATTTTCTTATAAAAAAATAATTTTGGATGGACATTTTGTTATAAAGGGGGAGTAGGGGGGGGGGGGGGTGTACAGTTTGTGAACGACCACCAAGCTATCGAGTCTAGTGTTAATGGATCCCTATGATTTTCATGAGGTAAAATCGGGAATAATAAAGATCCAAATCAACATATTCTTCATTAGTTCTAGATCAATTCAAAAATTTAAAATCAGACATCCTCAAAATCATCTCTATATCCCATCTTCAATTCCATTTATAGGTCCTCAAATCAGTTTTCAATCCACATCTGTAAAAATCCACCGTACTTCAATATTCACATTTGAGTAGAGCTTTTAATATCTAAATGATAGCGCATATAAAACTTAAGCAAATTATCCATTTATTAAACGAATTACAAAAAAAAAGATGCGAGAAGGCAGGCATGGCAGGAAAGAAAACAATCATAAATGTATGAGTTAAGCCATAACAAGCTGTGAGCTTGTAAATATTGAGTAATTTAGTATATATTAAGTGTTTAACAATACGATATTCTTATCAAAGCAGTTATTTGCAATAAAATCGAATCCGAACAAGATAGCTCTTGCCTTTTTAAAAAAATTACAGCTCTATAGGAAGTCTGTGTCTTTGAGGTGACTTAATAAAATATTTTAAGTTAGTGGCAATTTCTTTAAATATTTTATGACATTTTTGTCTCCAGTTACTGGCGTGGGATTATTGCGTAACTTTCCTTTTTTCTTGTCTTCTTTCTTCTTACTTTCTTCTAGCTTTTTTTCGGTGATGAGGACTGTCTGTTGAATCTGTTTTCATGTTGTTGAATGGAATGTGTTCTGGAAAAGGAAGAAGGGTGCAATGTGTCCTTTAAGTGACTGTTTGGCAAAGGACACACTCGATTTGACAAAGGAAAAACTCGATTTGACAATGGAAAAACTCGATTTGACAATGGAAGCTTAAGATAAAGTTCTACGGGACTAGTTCCTCGATAAATCCTGAAACTGTATCTAATGAAATTATTAAAGTTTATCTAACAGTAGGGTTCAGGATAAGTTGTTCCTTGATCGTGGTCTAGGTTAATCGTTCATTGATTGTTTTTCATAATTAAATCCAAGGCGTGGACACTCAAAAATATGCTTTGATTATTGGGATTACTGAGGATTATTGGGATCAATCTCAGTGTCCACGCATTAATTAAATCCATTTTCAATACTTCACACTTCAAATAGAAGTTTTGTCAAAGTTAAAAAATTTCATAATAAGGCTTCATTGAAAAATGAACTTATTAAGTTGGATTTCATGAGTCATGAGTTCGAAACTCAAAAATTTGTTTATAAAAACTTTAATGAAAATAATTATTGCGTTTTTAAATTTCTTCAAATTTATATTAAATGCGTCTCATGACATCCATCAATCCACAAAACAGCTTCCAACTTTTACTTTTTTTTACTCCTGCACAGATTTATTCTATTGTCAAGTCGTAATGAGTCATTTACGAAAAAAAATGTCCAAAAGGTTTCATTCATAAAACAACAGAGTCTGTAACATAACAAGTGTGATATTTCATAAATCAACTTGTTGGTGCCACTTGAGATCCTTTTTTTCTCTCCCTTTCGATGTTGTCATTTTGTCAGGTAATGCATCGATCAGGTATGAATGAAATTCGAGAGGACGAGATGAATTTTTTCTTAATGTTCTTGGAATTTTTATTGGAATTCTCAGAAAAACAGCGACTGAGGATAATAATGACATAAAAAGTGCGACTTTATAGGAAAAGGAAAGGAATTTGGATGGAATTTCTTTTATTGTGAGACAAAAAAAAAAATAGAGGAAAGGAGAAATGCAACAACTTAATTAAGGAATGAGAATTTTTTTGGTATGAGTCATAAGGAAGAAAATTTTGTTTTTGGGTATGAGATGAGAGAGAGACAGAGTTATTGAGGTTGTTGGTTCCATGATTTTGGATATTTTAACATGAATATAATTTCAATTTTGATTCTAACCTAAAAAATTTAAAAAAAAGAAACTATCATAAATGTTAAATTAAATTTAACCTACAAGAATTTGAACCTCAACTTTTGCCATTCAAAGGAATTCTTTTGATTTAAACTTTGTGTTCAGTATGACTCTAAGTCTTATATTCAATGTGCCCAGATTATTGAATTATTTGAATAATTTTAAACTTGACACGGACTTTAAATTAATAAAATCAGCTTATTTTTGGAGTAAAAATAGCAAAAATAACGCAAAAAAAAAATTAATCATCAAGGCGAAAACCTTTGTATTAAAATTAATTTTTATTGATTTAATTTTTGAGATCCGAACTCGTTACAAATTTATTTTGTCAACAATTTGAATCATCCTAAGAGTAAATTGTCAAGTTAAGTTGCTCATTCAAAAACAAAATTATTTTTAAAAAGTAATAAAATTCTCAAAACCAAGCACATCAAAAAAAGTTCTCATGACATTCAATAAAAAATTCCGAAAAATAATAATCCCATAAAAATAAAATTTATTCCCTTTCATTAACACAGAAAGTAATTGAAATCACCATTTCCATTTCATGCCATTTTCTTTTTACTCAATTCTCTCATTTCTTTCATTTATTATTGAAGAATGTACATTCAATTAATTTATATAAAAAAAAAATAATTTAATTAATGAGTAATGGATGGAAGAAAAGACTCTCTTTCACATTCATTAATTCCGTAGGCCGATTCAAATTCGATTTTTTAAAAAAAGGTTGACACCCACAAAAAATACAAAAAAGTCTAACATGCTTAACTGCTCTATTGCATTAAATGACTTTTGCCTTTTCATCCACACAAGCCGATCACATTCGTTTTCTTTTTCCATTCCACAGTCAAGGCATATGTGTGTAGCTATAATTGAAAAGAGAGCTAACGATATATCCATTCATCGAACAGTGTGTTTATTTTCTTGTTTGTTTTCTTTTGTGCCTTAAACAAACAAGAATCAGTATTGTTGAGATTGCGTATCATACAGGTCTCTCAAGTGGCATTTCTCTCGTGTGCTGTAGACAAAAAAAATATCGAATATTTTTTTTCTTTCTTTGGTTATGAAAACGAGACGCAAAGGTTGAAAGAAAATAAAAAATAATTTTGTAGTGAAAAAATTGATTTAAAATTTTCGATTTTTTAAAGAAAATATTGAATTAGTGGAACACGTGCTTTGTAAACATAATCGATAAGAAGAGATATTCCTCTCTAGTGACAATCATTAAATCTAATCATCTTTACAATCTAATAGATTTAAAAAACAATTTTGTGCAAACTTACAAATAAAAACTTTAATTAGTGATGCAAAATAAAAAGGAAGCAGACAAATGATGCAAAAGAAATTTTAAAGACAGAAATAGATGCGATTAGATGATTTGCAAATTTAATAATGAAAGTTTAGAACATTTTAAAGCCGAAAAGTGAATAAAGTGACAATAAAGGATTTGATAAAGTAAAAATCAGAGCTAAAAAGGTTCAATATTATCGAAAAGAAGCAAAAAATAAATTCTAAAGACGCAGAAAATTTTGTAGGAAACGAAAAGTCTTAAGAAAGAAGCGAAATTATTTCAAAAGAAGCAAAAGCATTTCTAAAAGTAAAATAAAATAAAAGAAAACAATTTTTAAAAAGAAGCAAAATAATTTTGAAAGACGCAAAAGAATAAAAAAGAGCAGAAATAGTAATAAAAACGCAGCGAAATTTCAAAAAAGAAGCAGAAAATAAAAAAGTAGAACGAATTCAAAAAAGAAGCAGAAAAATTCAAAAGAAGCAGAAAAATTCAAAATCAGCAGAAAAATTCAAAAGAAGCAAAAATAGTAATAAAGACGCAGCGAAATTTCAAAAAAGAAACAGAAAACAAAAAAGTAGAACGAGTTCAAAAAAGAAGCAGAAAAATTCAAAAGAAGCAGAAAAATTCAAAAGCAGCAAAAATAGCAATAAAACGCAGAAAAACTCTGAAGAAGCAGAAAATAAAAAGTCAGAAAAATTCAAAAAAGACACAAAACTTTTTTTAAATTGCGTAAAAACATTTAAAGGGTCTAAAGCAAAAATTGAAAAGAATAACAAAAATAAAAAATTCAATAGGAATTAAAAGGACTAGTGCCTTCATTAAAATCAAAACTCCATCAAACTACAACACTCTATAAACAAACTGACAATCTTTAAAAGTAAACAAATTTAATCCAGTGAAAGTTATAATCAAGAATTTTATCACAAAACAAAAACAATTCAAATTTTGTGAAACTAAACATTCAGCTTAATAATCAGACTAAAAACATACAAAATATAAAGTTACAAATCATAAAAAGTGCGTAGGCGAAAACAGTTTATAAAAGATTTTGATAAGTGAGATAAAAAAATTCATCATTTCATCAACAATTCAACTTTTATTTTTTCAATATAAATCTAAGCCGATAAAAGCTATTCTCTCTCCCTCATCCACCACACACACACACTACTCTCGAGTAGATAATTTATTAACTAATTTCCTATCAAGTGGAATTGAATGTTGTGTGGAATTGAATTAAAAAAAAGAGAAAAGAATGAAAATGAAAATAAATATTAAATAAATTAATGAAGCAATTGAAATTGAAGTTTTTTGAAATATATTTTTTACATCTAATCTAAATTGCAAATGGACAATTTATTTCATTGCGGCGAGTCTTGTATGAAGTAAAAAAGAGCACAACAACAAAAAATATATTTTATATCCTACATACACTCATATCAGCTACAACTGCATATAATGTAAGTAATAATTTTTTATTAGCATTAAAATATTGCATGCAGTTTTTTTTTGCGGTTTTGTCACAAAAATAAAGCTATGAATTTAATGACTTAATTTAGGTCGGATGGTCGTGAAAATTGACTTACTGTACATTTGGTGCGCGTTCTCTGAGGGAAATTTATATTTTTTTTTGGGGGAGTTTTGCCTTGTTTTTGAGATTTTATGCGAGTTTTGAATGAATCAGACTAGATTGCATCATAGGATATCATAGGTTGGTGCTGTGGAGTCAATTGTATGCATGTGAACCTCAAGTCATTCTCAGATGCAGTTTTGATTTGAAAAATTGATTAACAAGCTTCCAATTTCAACACAATCACCTTAATCCAATTCTAAGTACCATAATCTGCCATCACAGCTGATAACAGTCATCAGCTACCCTATCGAATCCCCATAATCACCATCTTACCTCCAAAATCCCTCAAATTAAGCAACAATTTCTTCCAAAATCAATTCCTTTACCTCATGCATCCAAAAATTTAAATCTCCAACAAAATATATAAAAATATTCGCGGTCAGCGCACAAAGAAGACACGCAAATGTCGCTCTGGAGAGTGAGAGAGGCTTAATTATGCAAATTTTATGCGTCACAATTTGTTTAAATTGATCATTGATTGAGAATTTCAATTTAGAATCTCCTCTTGCCCCCAAATTGAATGTGCTGAAGAAATTAGGATCTATGGCTTTTAATGTCTCTTCGTGGCTCGTTCTTAACGCGGACTTTTGGCTTTTGAAGTTGTTCTTTTTAATTCACTTACACAAACGTGAAAAAAATATATTGAAATTCTTGTTTTTAGATGTAATAAAGTATAAAAAGAGTTTCGGAATGAATTAAGAAATGGAACTGGAAATGGAGAGATGGAAATTATTTTTTGCGGTGCTTAAGAATTTATGAAAATTTATTTTCTGGATATTTTAAGTGCTTGTGGCTGAAGATGAATAACTTTTGAGTGAGATTATTGAATATTTTGAATGGCTAGATGCTGTTTTTGGGTGATTCTGGTATTTTATTAGCTTTTCAAAAGCAGATTTTAACGGAAAATTCAAATTCAAACTGAAAAAAAATTTAAATGTTTAACGACAAAAATTCAATTTCAAATTTTATCAGATAAATTCAAAATCAAACAGTCGAAATTCAAATTTTAACGGAATAAATTAAATTTTGACAGTTTAAATGTCTTTAAGGAGCTCTTTAAACCTAATTTGATTGCTTAACAAAAATATAAAAAAAATCAATTTAATATAAACAATTTCAATGTAATCTCAAATCACTCCACAAGCCTCACAACTTTTATATTTTTTTCATTTTATATCAATTCAATAATAAAAAAATTACAGATTCATGAGCAATAAAATAATAAATTTGTCGACAATTTATATTGATAATTAATGTGTGCACGGACAAAAGTGATTGAAGTTGCTCACAAGCTATTATTTGTCACGATTGACAAACAAACAAGATAATAAATTTTATTCACTGTTTAAAATTAATTCTTGATGGGGATTTATTGAAGTTTATTCGGTTTAATAAAGGAAGTTGATCCTGCTATGGTTTATATTTTCATTGGAGCTGTTTTTAGGGCTAATCAGGGCACCTTAGGTACTTAAAAATCAACTTTACCTAAGCTAAGATGTAAATCTCGGTTAAATGCTTCAAACTTTATTAATAGAAATGCACAATTTTGAGGCGTTCCTACATGACAATTGCTGTGTTTTGAGTTATACGGTAGAAAATAAGATAGTACTTTATCTTCATTTGCGTCAAGTTTTTCTTAATTTTGTAGATTTAAAGACATTGAAATTTTAAAAATCTTAAAAACAGCAAATTAGCATGTGATTGATGATCAGCTACGATATTGAAGATTTTTTTCTAACCTTGAAGATTATTTTTGAAACTATTGAATATTGCGACAAGCTAAGTCAGGTACCACAAAATTCCTTTGAAGATTATGTAGCAGTTCCATTTATTTTACAACTTTTTAACTACTATTGAAGCTTTGGATTAAAATCCAAATCGTTCAATTTCAATCCAATAACAATTTAACTTTTTATTGTTCCTAGATAATCCAGCATTAAGCCACAAAATAAAATCTCCAAACCTACGCAAAAAAATATAAATTTTTTGTTACTTAACATATCCCCGAATCTATATGTTGTGATCTACAGTCATTTAAAACTCATAAAGATATTCACAGCTTTATTTTTTATATCCACAACTTCCACCATCGATAGAGAGCTGATGGTCGATAGGAGAAAAAATTAGCAACAAGATCAGATATGTTAAAAAGTGTCCTAATTGAGCCATATACAGTCGAAGATTAGTTCTAAAGCCAAAAAGTATACAGCAATAAAACAGAAAACAGCGATGTTCAGTAACAACAACCGGAAATTTGTCGCCAAAACATGAAATTCCAATTTTCAGGTTGTCGAGTACCTTCGTTCCTTTTTCTTTGTCTTTTGTTTCTGTTTATGCTCAAATGCACAACAATAAATTAATAAAAAAAAGAAGAAGAAAACAAGCAAGGAATTGTTACATAAAATGCCTGTGGATTTTTATTGCTTTTGTCTCAAGATTCCTTTTTCATGTTGTGCTGTAAACTAGTTAATAGATTTTTAAGCGGACTGTTTTATTTTTGCGTAGAAGGATATCCGCACATTGTCCAATTTTGGTTTATTGCTGGGTAAGTGGTTTATTGTGTCTTGTAAAAGTTGAGATGATTTTTTTGGGTATAATTTGGATGGCTTGTGGATTTTTTGGTGTGTGGAGGGTTTTATGGATGGACTAGGGTTAGCGAATGATGTGATGAATGCGCTAGGATTAGTGATTGATGTGATGTTGGATGTATTTGGTTATTTTGTTCAAAAATAGACTTCAGATAAAATTATTCAAATAAATTTTTTTTTTCAAAAGTAGCTCGAATGGCACAAGTTGGTTTATCGATCAGAAATCCGGCATTAAGCTAGCATGATTATGGAAATTGAAGCCAGCACCATGCAAGAGTCATTACAGCTTAGTGCGGGATTTATATTCGATTAATCGACTTGTGCTATTCGGTTAGGATTTGAACCTATACACATACATTTTGTCAGATTTCTTAACATTTTATCTACTGAATTCTTATTCGACTATTGGCAAATTCCACATATAAACTGATCAACATGCGTCCTAAAATCCACACAACATCCTGCATTCCCAACTCATTCTCGTCCTTCACATTCCCAGCAACATACATATTCAGTGATTTGTGGGCTATTTGAAATTATGAGTGCTACATGCTGCCTTTGACCAAACATTGGAACCTTGTCTGTGTGTCGACCAAAAAAATAAAAGGTGAATGTCATAAATTTAACATTTTAGTGCTGTTTACTATAAAAAGTGCTAAAAATAACGTTGCATGTTTGAGGGAGAAATGAATTATTTTTGTAAGTGTGTAGTTGTAAAAATAGAGCAAAAGTCTCTCATTCAGTTCTAGATTAGCGTAACAAAATTCATTTAATGGTTTTTATCAGGAGAAAATATGAGTAATGACGTTATAATGGACGCAATATTTTATAATTTTTGATATCAGCTCAGGCTCTCTTTTACTTCACAGATATGTGAATTCATAAAATGTTTTGCGATAAAACATGATTTTTTTTTGCTTTAATATTTCATTTATCATCCGATGTGTTTATTGCTAGTTTCTAAAAAAAAGCTAGTCTATATTTTAATAGTTTTATTCGGGGGGGTTTATGTCCATGCTTTATATGCAAAGACAGTCGTAATGGATATTCTTTAATTATTATTTTTTATGAGGCATTTTCGGTCATTTTGTAGAAATATTTTTTTAATTGATAATAAAGCTAAACTCGGTGAAGATCCAACTTGCTTTATTTTTATTGCTGGCGAGGTATTTCATTCATGAGAATAAACAGCATGTAGTTAAAAATGCTATAATACATGCATCATGTCAATTTTCATGCTTTTTAATTAATTATTATGCTTTCATTCAGCTACTTGATAATTTTTATGTGAATTCTCTTTTAACTGACATTTGTGGATTAAAAGTTTTTGTAACTGAATTTTAAAATTTGAATATTTTAACGATAAATTCAAATTTAAATATTTAAATTTTTTTTGAATCTTGAAGTTTTAACGGGGTTTTAAAGTTTCAATTTTCAATTCTTAAGATTTGAATTTTTAACGGGTTTTAAAGGTTTGAATTTTTAACAGGGTTTTAATATTTGAGAATTGAATTTTAACAGGTTTTTTAGATTTGAATTTGTAACGGGTCTTTAAGATTTGATATTTTGACGAGTTTTTAAGATTTGGATTTTCATGGATTTTTAAGATTTGAATTTTTAACGGGTTTTTAAGGTTAGAATTTTTAACGGGGTTTTAATATTTGAGAATTGAATTTTTAACGGGTTTTTAAGATTTGAAATTTTAACACGTTTTTAAGATTTGAATTTTTATGGATTTTTAAGATTTGAATTTTTAACGGGTTTTTAAGATTTGAATTTTTAACGGGTTTTTAAGGTTTGAATTTGTAGCGGGTTTTTAAGATTTGATATTTTGACGAGTTTTTAAGATTTGGATTTTTATGGATTTTTAAGATTTAAATTTTTAACGGGGTTTTAAGATTTGAATTTTTAAATGATAAACTTAAATTTGAATATTTCAGCATTTTTCTTAAATTTTTACTATTTTTTTAACAGTTAAAGTCATTTGAATTTAAAATTTGTTAACGGCTATGTCAAATTTGAATTTTGAAGCAGCCATCATGAGGCAATTATCAGCCTATTCAAACCTTAAACTTAACTCTCAATCAATCTCTAACTGTAAATCGAACAAAAAAAATTTTCCACCAACAACAGCAACAAACTTGACAGCACGAAAAATTGATTTCAATTAATTTCCAAATTGACAATTTCAATCAAAATGTTTCTCTTCCTGTCTCTCCAAAATTCAATTCAATTCAAAAACTGCCATTGCCATTTGTGCTATTTCCTAATTCATTTTTCACACAATAGATTTGTCGGAGATGAAATGTTGAGATAATGCAAAGACTTAAATCATCTAATGGTTTTGCCATGTCATATGCCAATGTTGTATTCTTCTTCATCAACTTAAATTTGCCTTAGATTCTTGAAAAAATGCTCATTCAATTGCGGCACACTTTTTATCTTCAAAAAAGAGCTTTTTTCTTCTCCGTGAATATCTCAGTTCCAATCATAAATTTTCCATTTCTTACAGATGCATAATTTATTTTATTTAAGACCCAACCGCAAGAATCGTGCGCGATGAACAAATGTATAAAGCTTCGTTCTTTAAATAGTCAATTTATATAAGAAATTTTAAAATGGTTGAAACAAAAAATTTAAGTGGAAATTAGCAATTTATGAGGCATTCATCAATATGAACTTAATATTGTATGCTTAAATGGGATGAAAAATTACATACAGGCAACTTAAATTCATGAGTAAGTTAAAATATAAATCTACATTGCATTAATTAAAATAATATGAATGAATTAACTTGAATTACTCCCATAAGATCACTCAAATCCATTATTTGCCTCCGTAAAGTGGCGAAATTAGATTAATCAACATGTCAAATGGAAGCAAAAAAATGCAATGGCATTTTTAGTCGCATAAGTAATAAATTAACATCAAATTTCCCAATGGAAATAGCTTTGAGCAAGTAAGGAAAGCTTTTTTGAGGGTTTGGTGATTAAAGCGAATTTTTAATCGAGGTGTGAAAGGGATTTGAATTATTTGTGTTTAATAGGCTTAGAATTTGAACAATAAGTTTTAAAATCGCAGATCTAAGAAATTATGGTTTACTTTACAAATGTTAAAAAAATCACCACTTCGAAAAGTTTTTTGGCTCTAAAACTTAAACATTTTTACAAATTGGAAAAAAAATTTCAATATCGTGTAGAAAAAAGTGGCAAGAGTCAAACAGTAACAGATCTTTTCGTAAATAAATTGAAAACCTTTTCAAAATTCAACAATTTTACCTGCAAAGTTTGGTTGATTTTAATAACAAAAAAATTACAGCATGAAAAAATCAATTCTAATTCCATCACAAAACAATCACAAGACCTCTCAACATTCCTTCTCATTTCGCATATAAAAACTAATCCACAATGATTATGAATTTCCAGCCACACACGCTGCAAATCAATTACTTTTATTCACATTACTTTACTTTTGTTTGATCATTCACCGCTCAACTACTAGCGGCTCCTTGTCTTTAAATCTCTTTCATTTCTTTCACATTATCCGCAAATGTGAGTATCAGACGACGACAAAAGGGCACTGGCGCATATGATTGATTTGAAAAATGTGTTGAAATCAACAATTCAATACGCAAATCAATCAATCATATCATTATACATGATTGGGAATATTAATTTATATGAGTATAAGTATAAATCAAAAAGAGATTCGTTTTAAATATTGAAATAATCACTTAAGGAATGAAGCGGAAAAAGATCGAGTAAGGGGGGTCGATGGAATGATGTGAGGATGAAGAGCATTTCTTGTTTGATAGATTGGAGATTGATTTTAGTGATTATATGCATTAGCTTTGCTGTATGTTGTTTATTAAGGTTTATTTGGTTTTCTTCGAGATTGTTTAGGTCTATCCTTATATCTTTGGTTCTTTTTGAACTTGTTTGGATCCTTTTGTGATCTCTTCGAGTTCCTTCGAGTTTCTTTCGTGTACCTTCGAGTTCCTTCGTGTTCCTTCGTGGCTCTTCGAGTTCTTTTCGTGCATCTTCAGGTTTCTTCGTGTATCTTCGGTTCCTTTCGTGTACCATCGTGTTACTTCGAGTTCCTTTCGTGTATCTTCGGGTTCTTTCGTGTCTCTTCGAGTTCCTTCGTTTCTCTTCGAGTTCCTTCTCTCTATCTTCGGGTTCCTTCAAGTCTCTTTGTTTTTTTCGTGTCCCTTCATGCATCTTCGTGTCTTCTTAGGTTAAATTTGGACAGAAAAACTCAAAACTCACTCGACACTTATATGCCACTAATCCATCAAAAGGCGACCACATTAGCAGCAAATAAAGCAAATTCAGCTTAAAATGATGAAAGGATGAGAGTCCATAAAACAAATAAACAAAGAATAGGAGAATGAGAAGACAAACGATAAAGGTGATTGGAAATAAGAGAAGAAATTATTAATTATGAGATTATTTTGTGATGATAAAAACCATTAGTTTCTGGTAGAATGGCATGTTTAAGTATATTGATGAAATAATCCGATTATAAGATATTTTGTATGTGAGTGCCTCATAATTGATGACTCTCTTCAAGATTTTAACTTGAGTGACGTGTCAGGTAAAGTAAAAAAAGGTTTTTTTTTGAAATTTGATCGCATTTTATAGCAACAGTAGCAATATTTGGACATTTACAGTAGCTGGAATGTCTTGACATTTGATCCATCATGGCTGGAAATTCTTTTTCCTCATTTTTCAAAATAATGTTTTGCGTCTGCGCAGATTAAATTCTTGAGGATTTCATGTTTTGTGGCAATTAAATGCTTTCATTTCAAAAATCGATGTAGAGAGAAAATAGTAAAAAAATGGAGGATTTATTTGGTATGCATTTACACGTGCATTTATGAAAGAGAATAAGGTCGGTTTTATAAAGTCATGAATTAATAATTTTTTTTTCATTTTTGCTGCACACGATATGCAGCAATGGCAATGAAAAATTAGCGAGAATTAAATTTTGTTATTGATAATATGGATAAGTGTAAGAGAGGGCAAGGGTGGGGGGAGAGGTTGAGGGGTACAATGTCTTTAATATTTTCAAAAGCTTTATTAAATTTTTGACAGTTTTTCAATAAACTATAAATTTTTAATTAAAATTCTTCAATTCAAGTTCATGATAAAATCAACTGTAGTTGACACTTTTAAGCTAGTTCATCTACCTCACGATCAACAAAGTTTCACTTTTTCTATTCAAAAACTTTATTTTTATTACTCGAAAATGTTTGCAAAATTTTCTAATGAATTTTAAAGCTATAAACGAAAAGTATCTATCAACTCTCCTTTATTTTTATTCCATGCTTCTTCTTCCTATTCATCCGCTCGTCATCATCATTAATGACAACATCTTAGACACGAGAAAAGATCCACATTTATTTTATTGAAGATTCTTGTTTTAAATTGATTGTCGTGCGATGTTGTTTCTCATTATTATTTGTTCCGGCATGTTTTGATTATGGAGATTTTGAGTCCCTTGTGATGAGACTTTCGTGGATTACTTTTATCATTACATGCTGAATTTTGACGATTTGAACCTTGTTCTGACGGAAAAAATTTAAAAAAAAAATTGTTCATTACTATTTCCGAAAACCTTATAAATTTTTAAGGATTCGAACTCTAGAATAAACTCTAGATACTTAAATTGTGTGTTCTAATTCTTAACCATATTTGACAAAATATTAAATTTAAATACTTAATTTAAATAATAATTATTAGAACTTTAAGTTTCGTTCTTAATTCAGGTGCAACTTTAAGTTTGGGGAAGAAAGGCGGGACAGGAAGAATTTTTAAAGAGAATTTTTAAATTTTACTATGCAGAGAAGGAGGGGAGCTAAAATGTCTAAATTAAAATATTGCAACTGACATCATTTATGAAGGACCCCAAAGTTTATTAATCAACTTAACAATAATTTATTTGCACACATTTTCATCGACAATTAAAAAACAATTCCTCACAAGGGTCTCAAAATCCATAGAAAAAAACTTACGATGCCGAAGAATGAATGAAACAAACTTAATAAAAGCACTAAGTGACATCATAAAGATCAATATAATTTTAATGCATCTCACTAAGAAGAAAGAGTTGGAAATAAAGGCAACAAAGTAGAAAAGAAGAAGACATAAAGCATCAATAACAACAGCATCAAAAGGTGATGATGTCACACATTCTATTCAAATGTACCTCAACAGCCATAAAATCAATCTTTTGACCATCAAAAAGCGTAAATAAGAAGAAAAATATTTCTTTGTTTCCTGGCTATGGAAAATGAGACAAATTAATCAAGACGATCGATTAATTAATTACAGTCAATTAAGAACTTAACACGTTTACATTTTTTTGATGTCCATTTCCATTCCATTTATGCCGGCAAATTTTATTTGATTTTGAAAAGTGATAGCTTTTATCGTTTACCGCATCGACTTTTATCGGCGATTCTCCATGATGATGGAATTTCGTGTCTTGTGCGACACTTTAGTATATGAAGAAATTTTCTTGATACCTTCGGTCGCCACTGTAATCAAAATTTCTTTTTCGTGTTTTCTTCTTTTATCTTCCTTCTTAGCGTGGACCACAGTTTTGAGATGGTTTTGAGGTTAGGATTGGTTTGTCAGACAGTCTTTGATTTGAATTTGTGGCTGGATGTGCTGTTGAACGGTTTTAGGGGTGCATTTCATAGGGTTCATTGGTTTAAATCGCTAAAAACTTTAAAGCTTGCTTAAAAATTGAGAAAACCTTATTTATCGTCTTAAATGTGGACCTAATCAATTTTTACAATGAACAACTCAAGTTTGTACTTTAAAATGCAAAATATATGCAAATAATCTCTTATTTACTTAATGTTCTCAACAAGATTCATCCTTTAATCCCCTCGTCCCTAAACAAAATGCGCACCTAACCTCAACAACCCTTAGACCACGTCTTAACTTCTCCATTTGATTCATAAAATGACCAAAGTAAATGTAAATGAAAACAACAAATGAAGAAATGCCGAAAAAAGAGTCTTTTGGAATCTGATTTAAATAAAATATGTTTGTTTGTTGTCAGTGTTCTTTTTGGTCATTTTTTGTCCCTCTTCCATCTCTTTCATCTCTTCTAATGCGATGACACTCATACAAACAATTCTTTTGAGATTTTATCTGGCGATATTTAAATGTGGAAAATTAAATTATTTTATTAATTAGACGATTATATAAGTTATAGATGAATTAAGTCGATAATTTTATTGACTTGAGATTAAATTTTTTTGGTGAGATTTTTTTTTTGCAAATTTGATGGGAGTTTTTATTGAGGATTCTTGGTATTCTTCTTTTTTTAAAAACTTCAAAATTTTAAATTCAAATTTTAACAGATTTTTTTAAAAATAATTGAACCAACTTTTTTAACTCCAACGAACATTTTCGAACTTTAACGAAAATTTTTGAACTTAAATGATTTTTTTAAAAATTAAATAAGCTTTTTTTTGTACTTTTTACAAATTTACTTGTAGCTTTTACGGACTTTTTTGAATTTAATAGTTTTATTTAAATTTTTGAACTTTAATGACCTTTTTTAAACTTCTTGGATTTTGTCGGAATTTGTTTTGAACACGAAGTTTAAATTTGAAGTTTTCAAAATTGTTTGAATTTTTACGAAAATTTTTGAACTTGAAATTTAAATTTTATAAAACCGTTACAAAACTCATTGGAAACAGTTTCCCAAAACTAGAAAAGATCTATTTTAACTCATAATTTATCATCTTAATTCCAAAGAATTACCAACAAATTGCAAAAAATAGACATTCCCCATTTTTAACACAACCCTCTTTAATTTTGCAGCACCCAACCTCTCATTTAAAATCTAAAACTTAATCTCCATTCAAAAAGTCAATTTATCAAATCCCAAAATTATTAAAATTTCTTAAATATCGCCAGCATAACCACACTCATCATGTTTTAAATTGAATAATAATCTCAGAGAATCGACTTTTGATGTTTCTTAATTCACACACATTCAAAACTTATACACATGCTAATATTGAGTCACGATTAAGGTCCATAATAGCTTGAGTGTGCCTTTATTCAACAACAAAAAAAAGAGAGGCAATAAATTCATTATAAATAAATTTTCTTATTCGCCTCGTATTGTCGGAAATTTTACCACTGATCTTTAACGTGCCTCGATGACACAGAATTGAAAATGAAGAAGTTTTACTGTTGTTGTTTGCGGGAGATGAATGGTAGAAAGATGGCAAAGTAATGTTTGGCTTTTAATGCGAAAATAAGAAGAAATAAAGTTGATCTATTAATGCCGTATTTTCTAATGGACACTAGTGTGAAGAACTAGCGTCTTTATATTTGCCGCCGGCTTGAAGAAAACGAGAACGCAATAAATGACATCCCCAAAAAAATAAATAAAAATGTTATTAGGATTCGAATAGAACATAAAAAGCTAATAAATTTCCCATTTGAGGAATTAAAAATAAAAAAAAAATCCTCGGACTTAATAGAGTGGATTGGAATCTTGATGTGATAAGTGACTTCATCGGATTTTAGGTAATAAAATTGAAACGAGTGAGAATTAATAATAAAATCAAATATTTGCCATAATAATTTGGTTGAAAGTTTCCTTGAGGTGAGTGTGGTTTCTGGTTGAGAATGCCTTTGATGAAGACATGATTGTCCTTAGTTGATTTTGATTAAATATTAAAGAAGTTAAAAAGCTCCTTGCTGACTGTTCACTGCGAACTTGCACTATGCAACTTGAATTAGAATAATATGCTAGACTTTGTGTACCAAAACTATAGTGTCAAATCTCAAACTAATGAAAATTCAAAATGTCAGAAGTTCGAATCTTAGAAGTTCCAAAAATTTTTCAGTTATAAATATATTTTTTTTTTTGGTAAGCTAACGACTAATTTTAAGCTACATCCATAAAAACTTTGAAACTCAATCCTCAAACAGCAGATAGATCTCTAGATATCCTCAAAACCATCGAAATCAATTATGAATATGCATACCTCATCTGTTGTTTATGACAAACAGTAGCTCATAACTCAGTCGATTTCTAACGGACCTCTCTCACAAAATAGCAGACGTATCAAATTAAATACCGATAAATAAATAATTAATTAAAGTTTTTATAATTAATTTTTTCGGTTTTGCTAATTGAGTTTCTAAAGAAATATTTGGGATATACTGAGTGATTTTGTCTA